CGAGAAGAAACGAAAATAAGATCAAGAAGTGAAGGAGCACAGTTTGGAAAATGATGAGTCGAGTTCAACGGTAGAACAGTTAAGTTTACTGATTCGATCATCGAGCGAAATAAAGTGGTTCGAGAATTGTTTTTAAGTAGGCATGTGTTAAAGTCACCCATGATAATGGTATGAGTATATGAAGGCATTGTATTTTCTAGCAGAGTTTCAAAAGAAGTAAAGAAATCTATACTTGACGAAGGACAATAATAAACACCAAGTAACATCTTCGTGTGTTGAAGTTCTATTTCAAGAAATAAGTGCTCTCCCGCATATGGCGGCGTAGGCTGTGCCGATACATTAACAACTGCACAATTAAAATACGAACGGATATAAAGGTAACGCCACCACCACCGCCATTAATACGATCGTTCCTAAAAAGTTGAAAACCAGGAATGGTATAAGATGTAGAAGGAAGACATGGCTTAAGCCAAGACTCTGAAACAAGTATAGCATGGATATTCTTAGAATCAAAACTTGCAAGCATGTCAGGGAAATGAGCCGCAATACTCTGGGCATTGATATGAACGACATTAAAATTCCTAGGAACACCAGAGAACCGTGAAGACAATGTTTCTGCTAAAGAAGGCACACTAATATCGCTATCATCGCTGTTAGCTGAATAAAAAGTTTCAGATTCACTTGTATCTGTTGAATTGAACATATAAGCAAATATATATATAAAATTAAAAAAGAAATAAAAAAAATAAAATAAAAAAAAAAAAATTATAAATATGATTATAAATAAATACACTAATTAATAATACTAATAACTCCCACCAACTGGGAAAGTGTCTATGAAATATTAATTTAAATAAAACAGAGACAAAACAAGCCAAAAGATAAAAAAATACGTGAAAATTGAAATACAAAACAGAATATTTAAATCAAACGTAATAATTAATGCAATCAATTAATAAAAAGATATCAGGTAAAAACGAAGATAAAATAATAAAAAAATTAAAATTAAATAAAAAAAAAAATTGAAATTAAAAAAAAAAAAAAAACATTAAAAAGTATATACTAAAGAAAAAAAAAAAAGAAGACAATATTAAGAAAGAAATGAAACATTAAAAATAAAGAAATACAAACCAAAAGCATGGGTAACAGTGAAAAGATAATATTATAATGAAATTCCTCAGATAATTCTTTTGTTCAGTAAGTGTGACTTTAGAATTTTATTACGTGAATCTATTCTGTATGGGTGATGATCCTTTTGCCTTTTTACAGTTGACAGTTAGTAAAGCAACGATCAATAATTCAATATCGTTCACTGTCACTCAGCCAAATTTAAAATTAAAATTATTTAAAATTAATGTACCGACAAATATTTAAACTATTTGTAAGATAGAAAACAGGTAGTTTTCAGATTAATACTACGACAATTAAAACATAAAACAAAATAAATGAGAGAAATAAGGAGAACTAATTTCGTTTTGTCCCATGTTTTGCACACGAATGAAGAGTACAGGAAACAAAATTATCACTGTTACTTTCTAGCAGCAGCGCGTTTAACCTTTACTACAGCCGGCTTTGTAACAGCGCGCTTAGAAGCAGCATCAACCTCTGGGATTGCTTCCGAAGTGTTCTTTTGCAGACGATCAAGATCTCGCTGCGTGAAGACTCGATGTTTGATGCCATCCTCTCCCAAAATGTAGACGCAGCCATCCTTGGTCCAGACCTTCTTCATGCCGAATCTACTCCGTGCAGCCATGAAAATGCCGTGGCGCGCCTTCGTCAGAAACTCCGAAACAGTAAAGCCGGTGCCCTTCAGTTTTGTTTTAGAAAACCAAACCTGACTGCGCATTTCATATGTTTGGAATTTTACTAGGATGGGCCGAGGGCCATCAGATGCTGACAATCGTTTCATACGGTGACATCGTTTAATATCAGTTGGGGAAAACTCAGCTACAGCAAGACGACTGCTTATGAAATCAGATAGTGCCTGTTCAATTTGCTCACCCTTAGTCTCAGTGACTCCATGAATAATCAGCATTTTTCTACGGCTGCGAGTCTCAGCAAGTGGAGACGCTTGCTCGTATGCAGGACAATACAG